TCCCTCCTTCCCTCCCTCCCTCCCTGCCCCCCACGCCCCCCCCCCATTCCCCCTTCCCCTCCCTCCTCCTTTTCTGCTGTGTCTCTCTCCTGTACTTTTCCGCCTATTCCCACCTCCTCATCTCTCGTCCCCGCCTGCCCCCTTCCGGCTCAACAACTCCCCAGTTTCTATCGGACCATCCTGAATTCGTAGAGGAGTACAAAGGGGAGGAGCGACAGGACGAGGATGGTTGGGGCAGAAGGGCGAAGACGAGGAGCAAGGAGAGAGATCTTCTCCTCCACAGCTCCCCATCTTCTATCCGACCATCCTCTCATCTCGACCCTTCCAGTCTTTTACCTGATCTCCTTGTTCCCTCGCTCTCTTCTTCGCCTTCTCGTACCTGTTGATCCCTCAGCACCTTCTTCCCTGCCCTCCTCCTCCTACCCCGTGCTCCACACCTCACATACACTCCTCCTCCTCCTCCTCCTCCTCCTCCTCCTCAGTTTTCGCCCCTTGCCACCTCTTCGTTTACCTCTCCTTCAGCTTCCTTCTCATGTTCCTGTACTGTTCTGGAGGTATCCAGACATTCTTCGGGACAGCCTGCGAGACGATTTGAGAAGCCGAAAATGGTACAGGAGAACAAGAGCGGCAAGGAGAGGAGATCAGATGAGGAGGGGAAGGACGCAGGAGAGCATGAGGTAGTGATGATGATGATGATGATGATGATGATGATGATGATGGTGGTGGTGGTGGTGGTGGTGGTGGTGGTGGTGATGATGATGATGATGATGATGAAGAGGACGAGGACGAGGACGAGGACGAGGACGAGGAGGAGGAGGAGGTGGAGGACGAGGGGGGGGGGGGGGGGACCGAGAGATTTGTGACGCCATCGATGTTATAATGGGACAAACTTCGTCCTGTTGAAAGTGTGAATATTTCGCGAACGAACAAGATCAGCAAAATTGGAGGATGGAAAGAGGAGAATATAGAAAGAAAGGAAGAGGATGAGGAGAAATATGAAGAAGCTAACGAGGAGAAGATCATGGTGGTGGTGGTGATGGAAATTGTCGAGGAGGTCGAGGAGGTCGAGGAGGAGGAGGAGGAGGACGAGAACGAGGAGGAGGAGGAGGAGGAGGACGAAGATGTTGACGAGGAGGACGAGGACGAGGAGGAGGTTGACGAGGAGGAGGAGGAGGTTGACGAGGAGGACGAGGACGAGGAGGAGGAAGAGAAGGAGAAGGAGGAGATGCAGAAAGAGGACGAGAAGGAGGAGGACGAGAAGGAGGAGGACGACGAGAAGGAGGACGAGAAGGAGGACGAGGACGAGGTGGGGGGGAGCAGAAGTTATTTACCCTTCATAACGTGACCGTGCTTTCGAGCAGCCTACACAAGGACGAATGAAAAAGAAGGAAAGAATTCAGAGCTCACAAGCAAAAGTCATGAGGGAACGGGAGAACAGAGGAATGCAGAAAGAATGAATGAGAAACAATCAAGGAAGGAGATCATGATAATTGATCACAACAAAAGCAGGATGGTATGATCTTGTGTAAATAGCAAACCTGTTCGATCAACCAAGTCTTACGAACAACAGGGCTGAGAGCCGTTGCACCGATCTCTTCAACCTATCAATCACCCGTCATCTCCATCCCCCTCCTCTCCTTCCTCCCTCCCCATCCCTCCCTCCTTGTTCCTCCTCCTCCTCGCTCTCCTTCCCCAGTCATCCTCCCCTTGTCCCACCTCCTCTCTGTACTTCTCCACGTACTCATACTTGGACAGCTTTCTGTCTTTTTCAGCCTGCAACAGTTTAGCAAGCATACGACAAGAGCCGCCGCCGCCGCCGCCGCCGCCGCCGCCGCAGCAGCAGCAGCAGCAGCAGCAGCAGAAACAGAAGAAGAAGAAGCAGAAGAAGAAGCAGAAGAAGAAGACGCAGCAGCAGCAGCAGCAGCAGCAGCAGCAGCAGCAGCAGCAGCAGCAGCAGCATGGGTGAGGACCTGTTCTGCTAATGCCTTCTCCTTCTTCTCCTCCTCAGTCTGTAGAGCAACGTCAGGGCAGAGCAGCAAACCAAGGAGCATCGCGCACGAGCTTCAACGGGCCCGCACTCTTGACCGGGACTAGGGACCGGAGAGTTTTGGCGGACATGATGGCTCGGATGGTGTTGCCTGCAGCATCTCTGTGCGCGAGTTGTTGCTGTTGAGAGGGGTGAGAACAGCGGTCAGGAAGCAGACGAAAGATGGAGGGAGGCAGGGAGAACGAGGATGAGAACAAGGGTGAGGACAAGGACGAGGGGAAAGATAAGGACGAGGAGAAAGGAGCAGGAGCAGGGAGCAGGAGCAGGGAGCAGGAGCAGGAGCAGGAGCAGGAGCAGGAGCAGGAGCAGGGAGCAGGGAGCAGGAGCAGGAGCAGGGAGCAGGAGCAGGAGCAGGAGCAGGAGCAGGGACAACCTTGAGAGACTCCTTCTGAGGAAGGAGGTGCTTGTACGCGTCACCGTAACTCTCTATCACCCAACGAGGGACAACGATGGGAATTGTCTCCCTCATTTCAAAACTCTCGTTGTTAAGCGACTTCGTGATCAGCTCCTGCCATTCCAAATCGTCATCAAGCCACCTCCATGAGGAGAGGGGGAGGATGAGGACGAGGACGAGGACGATAGGAGGAGGAAGAGAAGAAGGACGAGGACGAGGACAAGGACGAGGACGAGGAGGAAGAGAAGAAGGACGAGGACGAGGACGAGGACGAGGGAAGGAGCGAATGCAAAAGGAAAAAATCGGGCCAAGGCATGCAGACATACATCTACACTCACCTTGTTAATCATGATCAGCTCCTTCTCTCGCTCGTCAAGCCGAGGCTGCTCCGTGATCCTCCCCGCGGTCGGGTCGCTTCCCTCCTCGTCCTCGTCCTCGTCCTCGTCCTCGTCAGGCCTTCTTGCCAAGGCCCTCTCCTGCATGGCCTCGTCCCATGTCAGAGCACGGCTCTTCTGCACGCTTCCTCCCCCCTCCAGTGTCATGTTCTTTTCCAGCTCTATTCTCCTCTGCTCCATCCTCCACATGGTCTCACTCGCCTCCGTGGTCCCAGGTACTATCCCAGCTGAAAGCTTTGACCTGGCCCCCACGTACTCAATCAGGTTGTCGAACGTCTTGGAATTGTTGGGGGCCACTCCCTCGTACAGCCACGTCATGAATGTCTCCTCCTTGTTCTGCTCCAGGTACTCAGGTATGCTCCCGTCCTCCTTTCTCCTGTGCGGGAGCCGAGCTAGAAACGTCGCTTCCTCCAGGTACCGCTCCCCAAGCTCCTCTGCAGCCTCGTACACAAGCGCCATGCTCTTACTCATGATGTCTGGCTCAATCTTTCGCTCCTTCACCGCGCCCTTGCACACGAAGACAGGGCTGTCAGGGTGTTGCGAGATGTCCCTCATGTCGTGAGGAGCCACAAAGGATGGGTCTCCGAAGCCAGCAGGGAGCTGCTGCTGGTGCGAGTACTTGCTCATGGAAGACAGGAGCCTGTCCTCGATCTTCTCCACCTCCCTGTCACTTGCTGCTCCTTTTTCCCACCTCGTCTCCTCTCCTATACCTCCTCCCTCCTCCTCCTCCTCCTCCTCCTCCTCCTCCTCCCCTCCAGAGCTCGACCGCCACTCGTGCCGCATCATGAACACCTCCCCCCTCTCTCCCTCTCTACTCCCTCCTCCACCGTCATGTCGTTCGGCCGAGGACTCAGTAACTGTACTTGAAAGATCACTGGTGTCGTCCGAGTAGTCAGAGACTGACACGTCAGCGTGAGGGTTCATGTCTTCTCCCATCAGAAACTTCCGACGTCCTTCTCCCAATGACTCCTCACTGTCTGACAAGCTGCTCCTTTCATCGCTCGAGCTGTGTTTGTTTTCCTTGCCATCAGCTTTGTGCCTATCCTTCTTCTTCCCTTCCCTTCTTCTCCTTCTCCTTCCCCTTCCCCTTCCCCTTCTTCTCCTCCTTCAATCCCTCTCTCTCCCGTCTGGTTCTATCGGTTGGTCTTGGTTCCTTCGCTCTCTCCTTTCTCTTCCGTGGAGTCTCTTTCCCTTTGCCGAATCCCCCATGGAGCTCCTGCTCTACAAGACCCACAGCATCGAAGCTGCTGCTGCTCTCGTCGTCGTACCCTCCTGCCCTCTCTCCTCTCTTCAAACGTGACTTGCTCTTGCTCGCCTCGCGGGATCCGGCAAATTTGCATGAGCCACAGAACAACAGGAGAAGCAGCAGCAGCCTGTCCAACCCTCGGCGACCTCCCTTCAAGCATGATGCCATCCTCTGTGAGATGGAGGCAGCTAAACATGAAGATTCATGTTGACGGACCTGTGAGACCGACCTCGTCTACCTCAGGACATAGCTCGGGCCATGCTCGGTTTCGACGAGACTGAAGCAGGCTTGCAAGGGATCACCTGCCTTGACGATGACTTGCTTGCACTCGCTCGGTTCACTCGAGGTCTTCATGTCTCTCCTTCTGTCTTCTCGTCCTCGTCCTCATCCTCGTCCTCGTCCTCCTCATCGTCCCTGCTGGCGTCTCTCCCTTCTACGCGATGCGCCCATTGCATGCTGCATCATGGAAAAGTGGGTGGGTCAGTAGGGGATGAGGGTTGAAAAGAATGAGGGGGATGAAATGAGAATGAGGGAGATGAAGGGGCTGCACGTGTTATAGCCTGCCTCTACAGCCCCGGGAACAAAAGGTCCCTGTAGGGGGTGAGGGTGGTAAGACTACGGGTACTAATTCAGTGCCTTAACAGAATTCGTGGGGGTACTCAGGAAAATGTTCCTTTGATGGTAGGGGTCAGGGGAAGGGTGTATTTGGGGTGGGGGGTGAGTGGGCACGAGGCGAAAGGAGAATGTAAGAAAAGGAGAGGAGGGGGAGAAAGAGAGGAGGAGAGGGAGAAAGAGAGGAGGTTCTTCTTCCTTTGTCTCTCGTTCTTGTTTGCCGATGAGGATCATTTGTTTATCAAGCTCAACAGGTTGAGGCCTGCCAATGAAATTACTTTCTATGTCTTCTTCTTTACTGATGGCATTCACCCTGTGTTGAACTATGAGCCTTTGGTCCTGGCAGCCCCTGACCCTTCTCTCTCAGATTCCTTCGTTCTTAGTCTTGGTCAACATCTGGACTTGGGACTGCTCGCTTCTTCACATCGATCGAAAGGTAAGGCTCATTCTGCTGTTCACTTCCATACCACAACACCTAGCATGCCAGATGAGGATTCATTTTATCAAGCTCAACAGGATTGAGGCTTCGGCCGCTGAGAATAAACTCATGGTCTTCTTTCCACCGATGGCATGCACATATACCTGACACATGCTCACACGTACTTGACATCTCGATTCTCATCCTTGCTTTTTTTTAACAGGTTTGACTAAGTGAGGACGGGAACGAAACAACAGCATCCTTGGACGCTCTGCCATCTGCAGGTCAGAAGAAAGCATAAGACAGTCCTCCCACCCTATCTCCCTGCCTCTGATCCCCCAAACCCATAGAATTTGAGCGCGGAGGTAAGAGCCCGCAAAGCAGTGATGTCAAAAATTTTGATGTCTTTCGTGACTCGTGTGAGGCAAATGTCTGCCAATGTTGCCCCTCCAGTTCTAGCGAATGCGCTATTCTGACACTTTCAAAATTGACAGGGATATCAACGGGTAAAGCTTCCGGGAGGAAACAGCGGACTTTTCACGTCGAAAACTGAAATGAATCACAAACTTTTGAGAAATGAAAGAATTTGTGTTTGTAGAGCTAATGAACAAAAAACTATACAACACACATGGAGAGCGTTTCTCGCACTAGAAATCTGAAACTCACAGCCTGCCAACACTCGTCATATCATCTAATTCACATCAAGTCACCAACCTCAGCCCTCGTTTGTAACGATCGACCAGCTTCTTGTTGAGCTCTGCCTCATTGCCGAAGAACTGATCGAATCAGCTCACTTATCCCAGCACAAGTGAGGAATCTCCCTCACCTCCTCCGACACGGCATATGCATCAACTACTTTGGCTGGGTTGTATTCCTGGAGAATTTGTCAAAAGACAAGAGCAGAAGACAAGCTGAACTTCGGAAGATGGAGGTTGACAAAAGTTGTTTCAAACAAAAGGAGGAGCACGGCAGAGAGACTCAAATGAAGGAAGGAAACAACTTCCCGGTTGATACCTGATAGAACGCTCGCAGCGAAGTCTCTAAGTCGCTCCTCCCTCGCTCCCACGTGGCTTCAAACCTGCAGCTAGTCAGATGGTCCCCAAGAAGCTTGTCCCACCAGGATTCGTCAAAGAGAGCCTTCAGGGCCTCGCGCATCTCCCCAATGCTCGGCCTCGCCTGCAGAGTCTTCAGCAGCAGCAGAGCCTTCAGCAGCACAGCTCGCGCAAAGCAGCAAGAGAGGTCAGGGCAGGAGGGGGCATCATCAACGGAAAAGGGTCAGGGTCGGGACCTTGGGGATAGAGTTTGTCGCTCGTCGGATGAGGGCGTTGTAGCGGAAGGTGTGCTCCTTGGACAGGAGGCCCTCGGAGATCGGGAGGAGACGATCCCCACGGGTCACGCGAGCTCGAATCTTGTCCAGGTTGTTCATGAGGTCGACGTGAGGGACCTGGTGGATGTCAGGGGCAGCTGGTCCCGAGCTGGGAGCAGGACCTGCTCAGAGAGGAGCTCCCAGAGGAGAACTCCGTAGGCAAAGACGTCTGGTAGGAGCAAGCTTCAGAAGGGGAGTTTGACAAGAGGAGGGAGCAAGGGAAGGGATTTTGCGGTGTTGAAGTTGCTCACCTGACTTCAAGGTCAAGGTGGCCCCGGTGAGCTGTTCAGGCGGCATGTAGGCAGGGCTGACATGCGAAGTTTGAGACTCGGACCAACAGCAAGATATCAAGACAGGAGATGTCAGGATACCTCCCGGAGATGGTGGTTGAGTTGTAGCCAGACTCGCTGGTCATCCTACGAGCGCATCCTTGAGACAAAACAGTCACAACGAGGAGCCAGGTGAGCATATAATCACCAAAGTCTGCGATCAGAGCTCGAGAGGCGTTGTTCAACAAGATGTTTCGGCTGCACAATATCAACGTCAAGACACACATCACTTTGAGCCTCCAACATAACCTGCTCAGGTCCCGATGGATAATGTTCAGACTATGCAGGTAAGTGACACCCTGGCTTCCAGTCAGGAGATCTGACAAGGGCGACCAGGCGCGGGCAAGTCTCTCAAGGATCCAGAGGGAGAGGAGAATGCCGTTCAGGAAACACATATCGCCATGTCTTACCTCTGCGATGTCTGCTGCGATCACCATCTTCAAGTCCAAAGACAAGTCTTTCCACATGTCAAGAGCGTGATCCACCCAGAGCAAGACTGACCTGCTTTCCCTGACGGCGGATGCAGAGCATTGTGTAGGTTCCCAGCACAGAGCGCGAACACAAGACCAAGTTGCATGTCGCCCCTGGTCAACAGTCACCTCAACCCCCAAGAGCACGGCAGGGTACCCATCGGGAGGAAAGTGAGCCACAGTGCCGTAATATTGACAGACGCAGGGATGCTCAAGCATGGTCACGATGTCAAGCTCCAGCATGACGCCGCGGAGAACCTGAACAACACACGTGAGGTCGAGGGAGCAAGTCCCAGGGAGTCTAGAGCACTTGAGCGACACTCCCTTCAAGCTGGTTGTTGACGGTGCGGAAGCTGTCTCTGCTCACTCGCTTCACAGCAACGTGGCGACCTCTAAGACAGGGTCATCGCTCATCGTCTCGACATGTTGATGCCGTCACCTCCAGATCGCCTTCTCGATGGTGCTGAAAGTTCCGCTGTCGATGGGCTGCTCGAGGCGTCAGCCCTGAAAGTCTTATTGATAACTGCGACACCTCAGGGTTCAAGATCTCGTCGAGAGGAATCCACTTCGCCTCCACCAGCTTGACAACCATCTGCATGTCATGTCATACGATCGCAAAGCGTGTTGGACAAGTTCCTCGAGTTCGGTCTTGTGTATGTGACTGAGCTTGGACTTGATGGCCCATATTTGAGCCTCTTGCAGCAGCTTGTCTGTCGTCTCAGCAAGATCGTCTTGAAAGGTTGTAACAGGTGAAGGAGTAGACTTATATGACATTTCAGAGAGGTTTGAACGATGAAAATTGCTGACCTCTTGATTGTTGCTGTAGAAATAAAGGTGTTAGAAGGAGAAGGGTCATTTGAGAGAAAATCCCACACCTTGCAACGTTTCCGCGTCGCAAGACACAATCGAACTCAACGTATCCCTTCGTCAAAGATCAGCCTCTGAAACGTCTTGTGTCAAGGTGCTGTTAGAGTCCCACCTCAGATGCAATGGTCTTGGCGCGACGAAACCTGTCAAGATCAAAGTTTGAATCTCTAAAGGCTAACCCTCAACATCTCAAGGTACTTGAGCGTGACATCGGTGCCTTCCGGTCCCAGAACCAGCTTGCAGGTTTGATCGATCGACTTCCCGCTGGTCTGAACGAACTCAGAAGCCCTGGGCCCATATCAGTCAGTCTGTACGCAACGATCCGAAGGTCAGCATGGTACCTGCTTGAGTCTTTGACAGCGACCAAAATATCTCCTTTGGATATCTTGTTGCTAGCGAACGCAGAACCTCCTACTGTGACTGAGGAGACCTGCCGGAACAGTCTCACTGATTTCAGGTGAGAAGGCTCTACTGACCACAGGGAAGATCCCTCTGGCAGGAGCCTCCAAAGTCAGCCCAACTCCAGTTATCCTCCCTGCTTCCTGCTCTTGCTGCTCTTGCTGCTGCTCCTCCAGTGTCTGCTGACTTTTCTGCTCCTCCTGCGCTGGCTGTTCGGGCTGTATTGCTGCTTGCTCCACTTGCGGCAACTGATTTGCCTGTTGTGCCTGCAATGCCTGCTGAAACCTCTGCGAGTAACTGTTAGACCTTGTTTGATACCCCTAACGCAAAGCACCTCGATCTCTGTGAAGCCAGACTTGTTTTCGATGTTTGACTTCTTAAACAACGAGATCAGGTTGAGCAAAGACCACGTCATCCCAACGATTCACCACAATCACTTCTTCGACTCGAGTCGGCTCTTTCGAGGCCTTGCAGATGTTGTCAGCACTCTCAAGCCAGCAAGGCCTCATCGTCACCTTCTGCTTAAGTTCTTCATAAGAGATCTCCAAACGAGCTTTGTCCTGGTAAGGCAATCACGTGTATGCATCACTGCGAGCGATAGACACCTGAGTCACGACACGGAGGCGCTGGGTAGCGTCTTGGAGCTGTTCATTCGAAGTCTTCAGGGCGGCCTGAAGCCTGACACAGCCCTCCTTGAGCTGCATGTTCTCGACCTCCACACTCTTCAGCCTCGTCTCGCTCGCTCTCAGGTCAGCCTTAGCACAACAGTGAGATCAAACTATGTCTGATTCTCATCCTCACACCTGTGCAGTCTTGAGCTTCGACAACAACGTCTGAATCTCCTCATGGTGTTTGCGAGCAGCGTGAGAGTTGTTCAGGTCAAATGGCGCGATGACAGTGCTAGAACAGAATCAAATATGAGCAATCTGTTTGATACGGATGCTTTCCTCACCTCTCATGCGCTGAAATGGTGTTCGAGTCGACATCAGGAGTGGCCGGCCACCCATTTGTGGGATCAGCCGCCGTACGAGCCTGGTAAGGTTCTGTCCCGTTGGGATGCTTCATATCATTGAAAAGCTGCATGCATGTCAGACATTTCCCATTCATCCTCATCCGATTCAGATACCGCAATCGTGATCTTGTCTTCTCCAAACAGATGCTACTCCTTTCCTTTCCTTTCTTTGCTTTTGGTGCTCAAGATTCAGTTCATGTGGAGCAGCTGGAGACGAGTCACGCTCTCTGTTGGGAACGCCTGTTGTAACACGTCAAACACATTTGACATTTCGTCTGGGGTGATAGGCTAAAGATTCGATGGCATGTCTGTTGGTATTCCATTGTTCTAAGTTAACTTTTCCATGCAAGCATTCACATGTCTTGAAGTGCTGGAGTTTTCGTTTCAACAAGGGTACAATATCGAGCCCTCAGCATGGTTTGGATAGCATGAAGATTTGATGTGAGGAAGATCGTCGGAATGGTCGGAGGTGGTTTGTGCTGCTTGCTCAAAGACGTATGGGGGGGAGGTAAACTGTTTGCAGGAAAGATCTCATGGCCAGAATACCAAATCAGCGTAGGTTCAGAGAAAACGGAAAGAGGGTCACACTCGGCCTATTTGATGGTTATGGTGAAGCAGGGATAAGTAACTGAGAAAGCTTTCGCAAGCGTTCGCACAAAGACGGCTATCATGGGGGAGGCATGCAGGGGCAATGCAAACGGAGCTGAGCATGGATGAAGAGCATTCAAGAAATGGGCGTAGCAGAGATCCTGGATGTGGAGCATCGAGGGGAGGAAGGAAGAGCGTGCAGGGAGGAGGGAGAGGAGGAGGAGGCTGTAGCAAGCGCTGCGGATAATATCATGGGCATGAGAGGAAGCAGACAGAGAGGATGGAAAGGGGGTGGGTATTCTCAATGGGGGTAGGGGTACCTTCATTTCCTGAAAGGGGTAGGGGTGCTTATTCCTTGAGGAGGCATGCGGGTTTACTTCTGATTAAGTGAGCCCAGGGTGGGGGTAGGAAGGGGTGGTGCCTACGTGAGCTCCTTTGGATGATTGAAATACTGGGGGTGGGGTACTCTTGGGTCAATCAACTCTCAAGTGTAGTACCCCCCACACGACAGAGATTCTCATTATTTGAGGGGTGGGTATGAAAGGATGTACCCCTCCTAATCTGACAGTGGTAACTTGGGGTCAGGGTGCCTGGTACCTCTAATGTCGGTAGGATTTGCGGTGGGTGGGGTATGAGCACCCACCACTTATCCTGATATCAACTTCTGACTGTGTTACAGGGGTGCATGTCAACTACCTCCACCCCACCCCACACCCCTGCTCAGTACCAGGCACTTTGTAGGAGTGTACAAGTGATCAGGTACTGAGATCCATAGAGTTGCACCTGTATGGAATTGAAATAATAATATTTATTGATGTAGATACATGTACCCATCATTGAAGCAAAAATACATATATAAATGATTTTGAGTAAAGATGATGGCAATACACAATCTGCATGCCGGTACCTTTTAGCTGCTACAAAGTGATTGCCATAACTTTGAGTAAAGAGATTGCCCCCTTGTGAGTGAATGACAGGCAGGCTAGCTCTATGCGCGCTCTGGCTGGTGGTTCTCGAAGGCTGGGCATGGCGGGCTGAGGGAGCAAGTAGCTTCAATTGCGGGAAGTGTGTGTTTCGTGTCTCAGACGCGGGCTTGTTGACCAGGGAGGGAAGCGACTGTTCTTGCTCTTACCTAGGACTCAGTGACTTTGGTATTCGCAACATCTCGATCGGGACCTTCGATGGGTTGCCAAGCATATACGAAATGAGTCTTGAGGGGAACCAGTTGTCGAGTCTACCACCAGGAGTGTTCGATGGGATGCCGGGCTTGGCGTATCTTCATCTCAACTATAACAAGCTGTCAACTCTTCCTTCAGGGATATTCAAGAACAAATTCTCTTGCTCTGGCTGGGTCTCTCCTACAACAAGCTGTCCAGTCTACCTGCAGGAGTCTTCAATGGGCTTAGGAACTTAGATTTCCTAGGCCTCCACAACAACTTGCTGTCCAGTCTTCCTTCTGGAGTCTGTGATGGTTGCATGAAGATGTTCTGGTTAGCAATCGACCACAATGTCCTACCCTCCTTGCCTACAGCAGTCAGCACGCTCTCGCGCCTGACCGTAGCGCTGTATGCCGACAAGCTGTCCAGCACACTTGCTGTGGGAGCCTTTGACGGGCTCTCGAGCTTACAGGGGCTGTATTTCAAGAACTACAATTTCTCTAGCCTTCCTGCTAGAGTGTTCGACGGGCTCTCAGGCTTGAAGATCCTGAGTCTTCATGACACCATGATGGAGAGAGTTCCAACGGGATTATTTAACGGGCTTACGAGCTTGGAGGAGCTTTATCTCAACAACAATGAGCTGTCCAATCTCCCTTCAGGAGTGTTTGACAGTCTCTCGAGCTTGCGCGTGCTGGATCTTGGTAGCAACATGTTAGAGAGTCTTCCTCCTGGAATCTTTGACAGACTCATTGGCTTGTCACAGCTTGACCTGAGCTACAACCTGCTGTCTGGCATTCCTTCAGGCATTTTCGATAATCTCTTGAGCTTGTCCCTCATTCGTCTTGAATACAACCAGCTGTCCAGTCTCCCTGGAGGAGTGTTTGACAGGCTTTCGAGCTTGCAGGAGCTATATCTCGACAACAACCTGTTGAAGAATCTTTCGATAGGAGTATTCGACAATCTCTCGAGAGTGTACTCTCTAACACTCGGATACAACCTGCTTTCCAGTCTTCCCACGAGAGTCTTCAAGAACCTCTCTAGCGTACAGTCTCTAAAGGTCAATAACAACCTGTTGCAAAGACTTCCTACAGGATTGTTTGACGGGCTCTCGAGCCTGCAAACTGTAGCGCTAGAATACAATAAGCTACAGAGCCTTCCTGCTGGAGTCTTCGACGGCCTCTCAAGCTCTTCTCTTCGCAGTATATCTATTGCCAACAACAGGCTCTCCTGTATCTCCTCCACCGCTTTCTCTGGTTTGCCTCAAGGCTGCAGTTTGGACCTCAGATACAACAATCTGCCTTGTCATCATTCCTCATGGCCTCCGAGCACTAGGTGGGATGCGGGCCTAGCGGTATGCTTGAACGAAACTCTCTGTCTCGACAGCCAACCAACAACAGTCATCCCATCTACGACCTCGTCAGAGTCCACGTCCCCTGAGATCTCTCAAGGCTTGTCCTCCACGTCAACCGTCGTCGCCCCGTCTACCAGCCCGTCATCTGCCGTCGCCCCGTCTACCAGCCCGTCACCTGCCGTCGCCCCGTCGACCAGCCCGTCACCTGCCGTCGCCCCGTCGACCAGCCCGTCACCTGCCGTCGCCCCGTCGACCAGCCCGTCACCTGCCGTCGCCCCGTCGACCAGCCCGTCACCTGCCGTCGCCCCGTCGACCAGCCCGTCACCTGCCGTCGCCCCGTCGACCAGCCCGTCACCTGCCGTCGCCCCGTCGACCAGCCCGTCACCTGCCGTCGCCCCGTCGACCAGCCCGTCACCTGCCGTCGCCCCGTCGACCAGCCCGTCACCCCCTCCATCCACCGCCCCGGCAGTCGGCGTGGCCAACGTCTCACAGGCCAACGGGTCGGCACACGGATGGGCCCTTCGCCCGGAGTATCTGGGGTGCCGCATGAAAGACTCCTGGGACACCATCATCCATGATGGGCTGCAGGCAAGGAACCAGACCTTCAGGACAGGCGGGCTCGGGAGGTGGATTGTGCTGGGCAAGTACGAGGTGTGGGTGTGCAGCTCTCGAGACGAGTGTGCAGCGGGAGGGAGAGGTTTCTGCTATGTGTACGACGAGGAGGGGCAGCGGTTCGTTCCCTGGTGACTCTTGTGGAGGTGACGCTCGAGTGAGGGACTGAGAGGATGTTGTGCAGGGGTCTAGAGGACGAGCTGGTGCTCAGCTGATCGGATTGTGGAGGGCCGGGCTCTGCCGTACTTCCCTCAGCTAGTAGCGTCCAACCCAAGTTTGCGCCACCTTGGTCTCTTGTCATGTTTGAAGTCAATACCGGCCGCAAGTTACGGCCCCATGGCATGCTGGCTGACTGATGAGTCAGACTAGTACATGTTGCGGCGTTCAAGGCTAATGAGCTTATCAATTCACTTAGTAGTACAGTTTTTTCTTTCTATGGTACAAGTTGGACTGTATGGTCAGGCTGCCGCGGTGGTATCACCGAGGCTGAGTGCGCCCGGTCGTCCAAGTGGCAGTGACCAGCCGTGCTGGGCGGCCTGCAGGCTTCGGTGGCGGCCCATGCAATCCTTGAGCTTGCTGATAGCCTCTTGATCTTGAATCGATGAAATCATCAGCTGAGCACCAGCTCGTCCTCTAGACCCCTGCACAACATCCTCTCAGTCCCTCACTCGAGCGTCACCTCCACAAGAGTCACCAGGGAACGAACCGCTGCCCCTCCTCGTCGTACACATAGCAGAAACCTCTCCCTCCCGCTGCACACTCGTCTCGAGAGCTGCACACCCACACCTCGTACTTCCTCCGGGTCATCAGCATCCCGAGCCCGCCTGTCCTGAAGGTCTGGTTCCTTGCCTGCAGCCCATCATGGATGATGGTGTCCCAGGAGTCTTTCATGCGGCACCTCAGATACTCCGGGCGAAGGGCCCATCCGTGTGCCGATGGGAGGACCATGGCTGGTTGGCTGTCGAGACAGAGAGTCTCGTTCAAGCATACCGCTAGGCCCGCATCCCACATAGTGCTCGCGGGCCACGAGGAGTGGTAACAAGTTAGCTTGTTGTATCTGAGGTCCAAATAGACGTCCTGAGGCAAACCAGAGAAAGCGGTGGAGGATATACAGGAGAGCCTGTTGTTGGCAATAGATATACTACGAAGAGAAGAGCTTGAGAGGCCGTCAAAGATTGCATCAGGAAGACTTGTTAGCTGGTTGTTGTTGAGATAAAGATGCTGCAAGCTCGATAGATTCATGAAGACTTCAGCAGGAAGACTCTGCAGCTCGTTGTTGTTGAGATTTATCTCCTCCAAGCTTGAAAGTCCGTTGAAGACTGCAGGAGGAAGACTGAATAGCTCGTTGTCACGGAGATTCAGCACCCTCAGGCTCGTGAGTCTGTTAAACACCCCAGCAGGGAGACTAACGATATTATTGATGGGAAGAAATAGCGACTGCAAGCTCGAGAGCCCATCAAATATTCCAGCAGGGAGATGAGACAGCTTGGTGTTGGCAACAACCAGCTGCTCTAAGCCTGAGAGCCCGTCGAAGACTCCAACGGAAGACTAGACAGATTATAGTATTCCAGATATATCCCACGCAACTTCGAAAGACCATTGAAGACTCCTGCAGGAAGACTGGACAGCTTGTCGTCGAAGAGGGACAGGCTCAGACATGTCCGGAGCTTGTCAAAGCTTCCTGCGGGAAGAAGTGATAGGACGTGGTGGTCGAGAGACATGGAACACGTTCTGGAGAGACCATCAAACACTCCTGCAGGAACACTTTCCAGCTCGTTGTTCTCAAGATACAGCCACATCAAAGCTGAGGTCCTGTTGAATACTCCAGCAGGAAGACTGGACAGCTTATTGTTGTTGAGACTCAGCCACATTAAGTTTGGGGTTCCGTCCAAGACTCCTGCAGGAAGACTCGCCAACAGATTATCGTTGAGATATAAAGACCACATCATAGATAGATTGTCGAAGACTCCTGCTGGTAGATTCTGTAACTTGTTGTTATAGAGATTTAAACTGAACAACTTCAAAAGACTGTCGAACACTCCTGCTGGTAGACTCGACAGCCTGTTGTTGTAGAGATCCAGCCCCTGCAAGTTTGACAGCCGGTCAAACACTCCTGCTGGTAGACTCGACAGCTCGTTGTTGCTGAGATCTAGATGCTGCAAGCTCGACAGCCCGTCAAAAGTCCCGTTGGAGATATTCCGAATGCCCCATGAATCACTGAAATCAAGAGCACCGCAACCAGCACCACAGTTGCTTCCCTCCCTGGTCAACAAGCCCTCGTCTGAGACATGAAACACACACTTCCCGCAAGTCAAGTTTCTTGCTCCCTCAGCCTGCCATGCCCAGCCTGCCAGAACCACCAGCCAGAGCGCGCAAACCGCCAGCCTGCTCGACATTGCTATCCGATGATCGCGTCCGAGTCAACCTTGACATGGGGTTACAAGATCGGGGCGGTACAAGCTCAGTTGGCGAGTACCAGTAAATTCTTTACTCATCATTCAAACCAGGTGCTGATTTAAAACTTATTGGTTGGTATATAATAAAACTTTACTCCGGGCCCGCCGGGCCCGCCGGCCGGCGGCGGCCCGGGTCAGTGAGTCACCCGGCGGAGCCCGGGTCCCCGCACTGCGGCAATCAAGTCAAGGTGGGAAGTATTATTATTCAATTAGCTGCCATGTGTTTAGCAAAGAGATGGAAAATGGGGAAGGCTCATCGGAGGGAGAGCGGGAGGGAGGGGGCAGGAGGGAAGCAGGGAGAGGTGGAGGGATGAAGGGAAGAAGACAAGAGCACAGGACAGAGGGCTACAGGAAAGACAATGGTGAGGGGAGAACAAGCAGGAGCTTGACGGATTGAGGGACGTGTGTATGGCAGAAGAATCCGGAAGGAATGGTCGGAAATAGGAAGGGAGAGATTGAGGCAGATGCGGAGAGGGGAAGGGAGGGGAAGGGGTGGTAAGGGAGGGGAAGGCAGGGGAAGGCAGGGGAAGGCAGGGGAAGCGAGGGGAAGGGAGGGGAAGGAAATGTGAACAAGGGCAAGGATGTCTTGCTTGTTGTTTAGCAAGAAATGCCCTCAATGCCTCGAATAAATGTCTTTTGCAGATGGTAGAGTCAATGCCAGCTCGACAGCTCAAGCATGAGTTGGAAAAACTGGTGAATTCTTGAGCAGTCTTGAGTCAGTTCTGTTTGACGCTCGCCGTGTCTTGCATCTGTGCAGAAAATCGATTACAGTGACTGCGTCGAGAAGGCAGACCTGGTGAGGAAGCTCAAGAAAGGCTTGTTGGCGAAGCGCGAAGAGCAGGTTGTGCTGCTGAGAAGAGGTCAACCTGAGCTGATACTTGAACCAAGGTCCTCAATTCCAAGGCAGCCGCAAACTTCGCGTTCGGTCGAAGGTCGTATGCCGTGGCGATCAGGCATTACAACGACGCGCTTGCTGCCTGCCAGGTCGAAGGTGAAAGTTCTCTCTCTCCTCGCGCTGCATAGCGAGACTGTGCATGACTGGCTGCAGATGACGACGTCGAAAGTAATATCATCAGGAGCGCGGAGCCCCAAATCCTGTGCAACAAATCGATCTCGTTCCTCCGCATGAACCAAGCGATTCTTGCACTCGAGAGCGCTCAGAAGAGCATCTCGAAGTTCCCCGAGTTTGTCAAGGTGATGCAGAGAGAAGGAGGACAGGAAGACGCGAGACGGGAGGGATGGAGAGGCATGAAGAAGGGGAGGAAAAGCAAAGAAGGAGGGAGGAGGAGGGAGGAGGAGGAGAAGGTGGTGGTGGTGGAGATGTTGGCGTGTTTACTTCATGGCATCAGGGTTACCTACGAGCTGCAGCTGCGCAATCTGCCCTTGGGAAACAATCGGCTGCTCTCCTGCTCCTAGACACAGGGATCTCGATCCTTCAACGAGATCACAACCTCGAGGAGGAGGTGCAACGCTATGAACCCTCCGTCTGATGTCCTGCATCTGCCCTACCGTCATGTTGTCACTTGGTTGTAGCATTGAGGATGCTGTTTGCAGTGCCTGATCCCTCCTCTATCTCGTCTCCTCCGCCTCCCCCTGTGCTCCCATCCTCTGGTTTTTATCTCCATGACAGATCTCCTTTGATCAGCCCGATAGCGACCCGAACGCGAAGAAGGCGTATGAGGACATGATGGCTCTGCGAAGGGTTGACCTCCTGTCATCGTCTCCTCTCTCCTCACCTCCTCCCGCAGGGTGTGCTGGAGCTGATCGGGAAGCAGGGGGATGCAGAGACTAGCCTGGAGGGCCCCCGGTGATGTGTGAAGGGTGGAAGTGAAAGTTGTTGACGCGGGAAGCAGGTTCCTGAACGAGGAGATCCAGAACCCGGCGGTCACGAACAGCATCTTGCTGCAGCTGAGTGAAGATATCCTGACAGGTGCGTTGGAGGAGGAGTGTGCTGTTGTGTCGGAGGGAAGGCGGCTGAGATGCTGGTGATCTCATCTACAGATGTCTTGGGGAACTATCTCGAGGCATGGGATTTGAATCTTCTCTCATGCGCCTCAAGGAGGGTGAGATTAGAGCAGACACT